ATAGATACTGGTTCACAAGCCACTATCTTATCCAATACCTACTTCCAGCAGGTAATGGACTTAGCAACGGATAAACCGAAGCTAAGAGGTTTCCCCAATGCTCTGTTGAGTGTAGGAGGAAATGCCCTTCATGTTATTGGCAATACATGGTTAAAGTTTAAAATAGGTAACAAAACCTTTAGACACCCGGTGATAGTGGTAGATCTCCCCTATGACCGACTGATTCTGGGTATAGACATACTCAGAAGACTTAACACAATTATTGACTGTGTGAATGGAATTGTATGGTCACAAGCTAAGGTTCCCATAACCTATGAGAAATCACATGTACAATCTGATCGTAACTGCCATGTGATAGAAGAAAGACCTGACTCAATTGAGGTACATTTTAGGAATAGTCAGTCACCTGACGTGACTATCCTGCAGGTGAATGATGCAATCGCACCTGTAGATGAGCATTCCATAAGAATTGCTCCAGAGAGGATTCAGAATGTCTCTCTGGAAGGTGATGTTTTAACCATTTCTCTCCACAGGGACTATGTTGAATCTGTAGATCTGGCAGGTCATGCTCAATTCCTTGCCAGAATTGAAAGGGTTAATAACAACTTATTCTTTCCTATTCAAATACATGACTTAGGAAGAAGTAGGAATGCAAAGCTGGACTTAAAGAGTGAGAACAGCTATATTAGCAGAAGTCTGTTAAAGCAGATCGCTAATCCTAAAATGATCAGGTACGCTTCCCCACATGACAGGTGGATCCAGAACCTGGATGGCGAATCAGAGAGTCACAATGTGATAGCAAAATGTTTACTATCTATTTCCATCGGAAATAAGACAGTTAAACATTTATTCCTAGTGATAGACGAACCTCGCTATCAGGTTTACGTTGGCAATGATGTCATACATCGCTTTGCCATACACCTTGACCTGATTAATTCCAACTTGTGGACAAGGTTAAAAGGTAATCCTTGTGGATACCTACACGAGGAAAACGCCCTGAAATCAGGACAAATACTCCCATATGCGGTAAGTATCCAAGTTCCTGATGACATAACCATTCCACAGGGGACAAGTAATTTTCTTTTACCCCTACAGGTCAAGAAGGGTCAGAGATTGGAAAACTCTGATGCCCTAATCTGTTTATCCAACAGGATACAACAATTAGGGATGGTGGTAACACATACACCAATGGTAAGTATTGGTAAGAATCCCACCTATATCATGGTCAACAATGTTACACCCAATAGTGTTACTTTACCAAAAGGAACATTGTTAGGTCTAGCATTGGATGCTGAGTACTATACATTTGGTTTCCAAAACCAAATTATAGGCCTCATCCCTGAAGAATACTTAACTGAGGACGAAATTGTCGATCAAATATTCCATTCCTCCCCAGAAGGATTATTCACTATCCTATCTGTATATCCCTTCAACGTTGAAGAAGGCTCGTGTAAAATCGAAGAAGCATCTATCACCTTCGATCATCCGCTCAATGAGCAGGAATCACAAGAGTATCACGACCAAAGAGAAAAGGTAAGTCAACACCGAACTGACCTAACTTCTAGGCTTGAAGAAGCTTATGAGATAGGCCAGCCTGAAATCTTTCCAGGATTTCAGGAAAGGCTAGAAGAGCAAATATCTTTAGCTGACGGTTGCTCCAATGATGCTGAGCGGCAACAGCTAAAGGAAATCCTTTTGGAATTCCAAGATATTTTTGCCAAAGATTCCTACGATTGTGGGTTAACTAACCTCCACGTAGCCAGAATACAAACTGATCCTAGTTTACCACCTGTATTTATCAAACAATATAGACTACCATTAGCGTCATATGATGGTCTACAAGACATCATTCAGAATTTAAAGGAGAGGGGCATTATACGTCCAGTGCACAGTTCGTATAATAATCCAATCTTGGGGATTCTGAAACCTAATGGACAATGGCGTTTATGCGCTGACTTACGACAGCTAAACAAACGCGTCTATATTTCTGGTTGGCCAACGCCATACATAGACCAATGTTTGGTACAAATGCAGGGATCCAAAATATTCACTGCCCTTGACTGTGCGCAGGGATATTGGACTGTACCAGTCCATAATGAAGACCAATACAAATTGGCCTTCACATTTGGAAAGCAGCAGTATACCTGGACCCGTATGCCTTTCGGTTATATAAACTCTGGTCATGAATTCGCTGTGTTCATGCATAAAGCTATGCCTGACGCACTCGAGAGAGGAACGTTATCATATGTCGACGATGTCTTGCTGAAAAGCACTTCCTTTGATAAGCATATCTTAGAGATTAGACATGTTCTCACTCAGTTAAGAGAGGCAGGGATTAAACTGTCTTTACAAAAGGCGCAATGGTGTCGCACCCATGTCAATTTCCTCGGACATGAGGTAACTTCTGAAGGATTAAATCCCCAGAGGAAGAAGGTTGAAGCCGTACTAAAGGCTAAAACACCTTCAAACATCAGGGAATTAAGATCGTTCCTTGGTATGACTAATTACTCCCGTAAGTTTATAGATAACTATGCAGAAATAACTAAACCACTCTTACACCTGCTTAAAAAGGAAACTACCTGGAACTGGGGGGAGCCTCAGGACCAAGCGGTAAGTGAACTGAGGAGGAAGCTCACTCAGGCACCCTGTTTAGCATACCCAGAGGGGGGTAAACCCTTCTATCTGGAGACAGGTTATACCGATTTAAGCATAAGTGCTGTTTTGTATCAGAAGCAGGACAGTTTAAACAAGGTTATTGCATATGCTAGCAAGACTTTGTCACCTGTTGAAGTTAAATTCAACACGTGTGAGAAGGCGTTATTGTCGACTGTCTGGGCACTACAAAATTTTCGTAGCTATATCCAAGGTGAGAAAATAATTGTAGAAACAGCTCACCAACCTCTACAGTATCTGCAGAGTGAAAGAATTAGAGACGGTAATCTCTCTAACAGTCGGATTACTGCATGGACTCTATCCTTACAGGGATGGCCGTTAGAAGTCCGTTATAAACATAATAAGAGAAGCCCAGTTGCCCAAGGTTTAGCAGAATTACATAACTGTACTGCTCCATCTCTGGATGATAATGACACCGGAGATGACTTCCTAGAAGAGCAATTGCTATCTCCTTATAAAGTTTATGACGAGGAATACTGTCGACCACTACCGTGGGTATACATTGATGGTTGTTCATATCACCACGTCGTTGGTGCTGAACGGAAGTTAGTTGCAGGTATCGGAATCGCCTGGATAGGTGATTATCCTAATGTATCTATAGGATACAATATTGGTCCCAAAAGCAGTCAGATAGCCGAACTCTGTGCAGTATATAAGACCATTCAAATGGCAATAGAATATGGTATCAAAGAATTTGTTATTATAACTGATTCCAACTATGTTCGCAACAGTTTCGTCGAATATCTGCCTAGCTGGAAACGTAACCAAATGCTGAAAAGCAATAACAAACCTGTTAAACATGGGAAATTGTTTTGTAAAATCGATGAACTGGTTAAGGAAAATGGTTTATCCATATATTGGAAGAAAACCAAAGGCCATTCTAAAATAGAAGGTATTGACAAGGATGGTAATGACTTAGCTGATTCACTGGCAAAACAAGCTGCCATCAATGGTGAAACCCTAAACATTGATGATCTTATGGGTTCAATTCATGTTGAAGCCATAACTAGACGACAGGCTAGAGATAATGCCGACTTAAACGTCGTGCAATGGAGTCAAGAAGCTCCTAGTCAGGACCTGATTACTAGTCAAAAGAATGATCCCGTCATAGGCATATTCTATAAACATATAGAAGACCCTACTGCCAATCCCATCACAGATGAGGATTGCAAGGATAATGAAGATTTACGAATCTTGATGAGATATAAAGTCCAATTTAGTATCATGGATGGGTTACTGGTCAGAACTTCTAAACATGGTATACAACAATGGGTAGTCCCAACTGTATACAGAGGGTTAATGCTCCAACACGCACATGATGCACCTACATCTGGGCATCGTGGTGATAAGATCACATATGAGATATTGCGTGATTATGCATATTGGCCACACATGTTAAGGGATGTTAAGACATACTGTCAGGGATGCTTGATTTGTCCGCAATATCAACCCCATGGTCCAACCCATCGTGCACCACTTCAGAAGAGGGGGGTGTCATTACCCTGGTCTGATATTCAAATTGACTTTATAGGTCCTGTAACAAGATCTTCAAGAGGTAACAAATACATGTTAACCGTTACATGTATGTACACAAAGTGGATAGAGTGTTTGCCTTGTAAAGAGAACACGAGTACCGTGTGCGCCACTTTGTTGATTAACCATGTCTTTTCCAGGTTCGGTCTGCCTCAAAGAATTGAGTCAGACAGAGGTAGTCACTTTACCAGCGAAGTAATGGCTAAGATGTGGAACATTCTAGGTGTTAAACGAAAGCTACATATTGCATACCGCGCTGCATCTAGCGGGGGGGTAGAGCGATATAACCAGTCTATCGTTAATATTCTGAAGAAATATGTTAAGGAGTCTGGTAAAGACTGGGACATTAAATTGCCCCTAGTTTTAATGGCGATTAGAGCTACACCTAGCACTGCTACCAAATTGTCACCTTTTGAATTGATGACAGGAAGAAAGATGGTCTTACCACAGCATTTACTATATCGTACTTCGGATCATAACTTGATCAATGCTGCCACTACGCATCAGTATATCGAAGATTTGCGCAAGCATTTACAGCATGCGTTTGCTTTTGCCCAAAAGAATCTAGAAAAAGCAGCGACAGGGGTTAAGACCTATTACGATCTAAAAACCACGAAAAAGGAATATGAGATCACAGATCAAGTCTATCTGTATAACTTTGCGCGAAATCAAGTTAAGGAAAAGAAATTTTTACCTTCTTGGAAAGGACCATATGTCATCATTGACAAAATTTCCCCAGTAGCGTACAAGATAAAAATTCCTAAGGATGGTGATTTTATTGAAAAGTGGGTTCACATTAACCAGTTGCGTGCTTGTCATCCTAAATCTCAATTAAGGATTATAGGTGTGGATTCGGATGCAGAAGGGTGAACGACTAACCTGGATGAATGCTTGATTCACGTGGTATAGTATGATGTGAAATGTTGTGATATGCCATGATCTCATGTACGTTCATGTCATTAACCATTTCCTTGCCATCCAATAACTACATTTTATAAGCAGGTTACTAGCTTGTTTAACTGCTATAGGCATATTGCTGAGGAGTCAGTAATAAATGTAGTGAGGGATGAAGTTATAAAAATAGAATTAGAGAGAATACATATGTTAATGAATCGTAATAATGTGTTGTCCTAGGCCAAGTGATGTCACACTGTTATAAGTTTGTATGCTTAACAAACCTTGAATCATTAGTAGATAAGTCTGAAACGAGTTCCTGATCCGTGACTGTCGAAAGATGTCCAAGAAGGATGTGACGTGTTTCTGGATCGTACTGCTCCTGTGCCAAGAGCTACGGACCGACCCGATCGCAGAGATGGGACCATCCTCCGGCATCCTGATTCAAGAAACACCAGGGTTCATCTTGACAGAGAAGAGGATCCTGACCCGACGTGTGTTCGTCAGCTTGGACCCCAAGATTTCCATCGAGAAGGCATACAACATTTCATCGATGCAGCTTCCTGAGTTACAGACTTGGTACCAGATGCACCTCCAAGAGCACAGGACCGTGTGCGAAATATCTTGGAGCAAGCCCGGAAACCATTTGTATCCAGTTCTATTCCGATGAGCAACCGACCCAAAAGGTTCCTCACCGCTATAATTGTTGCATTAGTTTGTGCCACTGTCGGTGCAGTTGTCGCAACTGGAATGTTTGCAGCCAACTCTATTACTGTCCAAAGCTGGATATGGAAATCTATGCGCTAAAGCAACACATTAACGATATTCATCAGGTGATACAACAGCAAAGAACACTTCTCCAAGACGTGCTAACTATTGTGGAAGACACAGTTGTTACAACAAATTTGCATTCGGAATTAATTGCCAAATCCACTGAGTTGCACCAAAGTCATGACTTATTTAAGCGTGAACTTCTATTTCTGCATGACCCAATATTGTTCCACACACTTGCTTTTCTCGACGAAGTGCAAACTGGAATGATCGAATTGGCAGGGGGACGCATACCTCTGTATTTTGTATCCAAGGATATTGTTCATGCGATGCTTGCCAATGTGGATGGAGAGACAATTGAGCCTATGCAATTAAATCTGGCCTTTGAGATGGGGAGCGCTATACCTCTCTTAATTGATCCGGAACGTATGGAGATTTGCTTTTTATTGACCATACCATATGTAACTCCCAAAGACATTTTTCAAATGAAAATAATGTACTATGTTAGAAATGATGTGATTGCACAATATGTCTGATAACTTCCATAGTGCTTATTCATAAGCTAAATTAATTTTGGCTATGAAATGCACTAAAGGGGGGTTATGTCAGAGTATTTATATCGGCAGACATTTTGTGCTATGATAGAAACTAAAAGTGTATATTCTGAGTCACTCTGAACAGACCAGACTCCATTTTGTTATTTCAAGTTAACAAAGAAGACACTAGATTTCTTTCTGAAAGACTGGCCTCTTTGCCAGAGCTAAGGAATGCATAGTATAAACAAGTGATAAGGAAGGGGGTTGGATAGACTGTCTAAAATGCTAATGGAATATAATCAAATCTAAACCCAGACAATTGTGACAGAGAAGATTAAAAAATTTAAGATTTAACTGTCTATATATATAAGGTACCATTGTATGGAAAAGGGTAAACTTAGTTCATGATCTGTCATATCAGAAATTATGGCAGGAATTGCAGACGCTAAGTCTGGACAAAATTTAAGAAATCCTTTTAAAAAAATTTTGAATTATGGCGCTATAAAGATAACGCAAAATGACGTCAAAATAGCCACCAGGAAAAGTTAACTCTTTCCTGGATAGGTATGTTTAGTGGGACAAGACTGCCCTCTACAGACCAAATAACTAATTTGCGATCTGGAAGATAACCACACCTCTAGTGCTTCTATTGGGTTATCAACTGATGACGTACAGAGAGTCTGGCCCTTTAAAAGTTAGGACAAAGGGAAGATAGAGGATACAAGATATACGAGAGAGGAGGCAGATGCAAGATATGCAAAGGAGAGGAGAGAGGAATTGGAAGTTTGGGGACTCCAACTCGGACAACATCTGAGAATAACACTCTACTCCTAAAACTCTAACACTTAGAATTTACTGACTTTCTAACCAACACCTCCATGCAGAGAGACTACCAATCGGATGAAATATCTACTCAACTGGTAATTATACTGGTTTCATTTAATTAAATTAAATTAATTAAAATGTATTAATAGCATTATATATGACTGGATAAAGCACGGTCAGATTTCCATATTAAGAAATCTTAGTTAACTAAGAATATATAGTTATAAACATTCCATTCTGCAGGTGGAATTAAGAATAATTATATATTGATGTGATATTATCACGTGTTAGCATACCGCTGTTTTTATCCAGGTGTATTGATTTGCTCTAAATTAAGATAGATATCTTTTAGACAAATTAAAAATCTGCTTATATAATGTGGTAAATTCTCTTATTGGATGATTTTCAAGGAAACGGCTAATGAACTGGATTAAATGTTATTTTATTTAAAAATTACATAAGAATAGATCTTAAACACCTAGGAGATCTAGCCAGCATTGAAAGGGTTATTCTAACTGTCAGCTAAACTTTACGACCTTACGCTGCACTCTGAGGAATTCTGTTCTTCGCTGTGAAAAGTTTCACTTTCAGCCTGTGTTAAAGATAGTCATAAATAATTCTTGACAGGAAATGCTATTTAGCCATTGTAACGTAATACCCATTTCTTTGTATTGCATACCATTTTATACCGGATATTCATTGATTATTGTTATGCATGTTACATAATATTATTTGTTTATTATTAATTTGTCATATAAATAAAATCTATTTTTATACATTGTGATATTAATTATATGAAATACATTTCACTTACGATAAACGTTCTTTGGGATCTGAGAATTGAATTAGTGGGCAATTCTCACTGTTACTATTATTATCCCATAAATATCCCCACAACGTGATGCCGTAGATGCAGGTAGTAGTTTAGGTTGAGTGATTTGAAGAGTAAGGGGAAAGTCGTGAGACCCGTGTGAGCCTTTGGGTAGGACCCTGGACCAGCTAATTCTGTGACGCCCAGTTGATGGGGGGGGGATGCATGATGAACCAGCATATTTGTTAGGTGTCAGACGGGTCGGGCACATGGTCTTGGTGTGGGATCTGAAGCATAGTGAAGCAGATGTGCAACAACTTGCATGCACTGTAGCTGCATACGCCTGTGTTAAAGTTATTGCACACCTGCGCCTTACCCAAGAATGTGATGGGTCTACCCAGCTTGTCTCTCTGGACACCTTCCTGTCTTGGGAGTGGGGTGAGGCAGTGGTGGGGTGAGAAAGAAGAAGTGGAAGGGTCTGCGTCCCCAGGGCATAGATCGGTGGAGTGTGAAGTGGAACCACAAGAGGCACAAGACGGGGGCCTCAAACCAGCAAAATAATGGCAGAATAACTCAGTATCTATCTGACACCAATCGATTCTAATATTGAATTGTGTCAGATGAGTAGCTGCCTTGGCCAAAACTGATTTGTGGTAATCGTAAAATGAGTACCCTCCATACTTGATGCTCAAATCAACCACTTTGTGCATATATAAATCAAGCTCTTCTCACCTATGTGGGTACACCGTGCAGATAAGTGCCAAATGCGATAACAAACTGTGGGATGGTGAGTTTTTTATTCAAACGTGGGTCTCTAGCTCTTAAGACAACTGAAATGTCCCCGTAGTTATATGCTCTATTGTCTAGGACATCTTGGGAGGCTATGAGGAGGGACATTAAATTATCTTTCTTGATGGAAGCCGGGACAGAGTGGGCTGGTGAGGCATGGGCAGTGGGAGTGGTAGTGGCTGGTGGTGTAGGGGGAGGGGAGATGAGGGTTATGGCAGTCAGAGCGGTCGAGGTCACTGGTGTAGGGATTGCTGGGGCTGTTAAGTCACCTGGAGTGGCAATGGCCGATTCCACCTTCAGCAACCTGCTGTTAATGGATTGCAGATTGGCCAGTATAGCCGCCAGAGTTTCCTGGGTGGAATCAGAGTAGCTAACTGGAGGCCCATGTGAACTTGTGCCGTGCCTTTGGTCGTTGGCCTGAGTCGTCAGCAGTTTATAAAGTTCTGCCTTTCTGGCGGTGGCTGGAGAGGGGATCCCCCTGAGCCTGAGCTCAGCTGATATTTTTGGAATGGTCCAATATCTTAGGGATCTGGGAGTAGAAGGAGTGAGGGATTCTTCCGGAGACCCAGGCCTGGCTGGCGTGCTGGGTACTTCGTCTGATGGGGGATCGATGATTGGGGTCTGCAGTGCTGATGGTGTCGGTTGGAGTGCTTGGAGTCCTCAGCGAGCACTAGGAGCATCGATTGGCGGAGGTACTCAGTTTTGAGACATTCTGAAAGGAATAATGATATGGATAAGTAGGGTATAGTGGAGGTGGGATGAGACCTCCGGAGAACTGGCCTGCTAGCTAATGCCAAAGCAAAGAACTATAATTAGAACCAAGTGACAGGTGAGGCCCTGCTATTGCCAAGCGGCAGTGAGAGGCTTAAAACCTCACCTATGATTTGGGCCGAGGGGGTTTTGTGGCCACCAGAACGAGATGGCACGATGTCGGCCTCTTGGTGATTGTAAGAGATTCAAAAACGTGTGGCCATGACATGGGAAGCCCTAACTGTAGCCCTAAAGAAGAGCGAGCGAGGTGGCAAGCTATGATTTGGTCGTGGGGATGAACCTCTGTGTATGAGGTAGGGGTGTAGACCTCGCGGACCGCAGTATTATTAGGGGAAGCTAGGGCCAGCACCTGACCCTGAAAGCCAGTTCTCTACCCTGACGGGGGCTTATCTGTTGAAGGAAGTATATAACGAATGTAGATACTGAAAGAATAAAAGATACTGTAGATACTGACCTTGAGTGTTTGTCCTGTATATTTAGACAATGCTCAGGGCGACGTCAATATATATGACTGTGACGAAGTGCCCTTCGCCACTTGTGCCTGGAGAGGACTGCTTGCCCGCCTCTTGCCCTGTGACTATGGCCCCTGGGATGTATTGCCCTTTAAAGACATGATTTGGGCATAATGGATTT